TCCCCAGCTCTGACCAGGTTCTCCACCCGTCAGGGTACCCGTCGGCCATGTTGTCAGACCAGGATGTGACCCCAGACCATGGACCAGACTTGGTCCAGTCTCATGTTGCGTGTTGTTGACTCGTCCTCCGGTTCTTACAGACCACCTTTCGTCTTCCCACGGCCTGGCTCACCATGTTTGACGCGGTGCTCATCCTCCTGCTGATCCCCCTGAAGGACAAGGTGGTGGACCCCGTCCTGAAGCGCCGCGGTCTCCTGCCCTCGCCGCTCAAGAGGATCGCAGTGGGGATGTTCTTCGTCATGTGGTCGGCCGTGGCAGCAGGTGAGAAGAATTTCAACAAAAAAAAATTTTTTTTTTCTTGTGGTGTTCGGTCCTAAATTCTTCTGGTCTGGTTCTTGTCGGTTCTTGTTCCTGCAGGAATCCTGGAGACCAAACGCCTTGAGATCATCAAGTCCAACGGTACCATTGACCAGGTGCTGGGAAAAGTCACCTACTACGCAGCGGACCTGCCGATCTGGTGGCAGGTTCCGCAGTACGTGCTGATCGGAATCAGCGAGATCTTCGCTAGCATCGCAGGTACGTCTGTGATGATGAAGATGATGGTGATGAAGATGACATGTTCTCGCCGTCCTCGACCTCTGACCTCCTCCTTTTTTTTTACCCCAGGTCTGGAGTTCGCCTACTCTGCTGCCCCCAAGTCCATGCAGAGCGCCATCATGGGGCTGTTCTTCTTCTTCTCCGGCATCGGTTCCTTCGTAGGCTACGGCTTGTTAGCGCTGGTGTCGCTGAAGGAGATCGGCTGGATGTCCTCGCACAGAGACTTCGGTGAGTCCTGCACGGTGTCCGACATGAGGTTCAACATGAGGTCCAACATGAGGTCCAACATGAGGTTCAACATGAGGTCCAACATGAGGTCCGACATGAGGTCCATCATGAGATCCGACATGTGGTCCGACATGTGGTCCAACATGAGGTCCATCATGTGGTTCAACATGAGGTCCGACATGTGGTCCATCATGAGGTCCATCATGTGGTCCATCATGAGGTCCGACATGTGGTCCGACATGTGGTCCAACATGAGGTCCATCATGTGGTTCAACATGAGGTCCGACATGTGGTCCATCATGAGGTCCATCATGTGGTCCATCATGAGGTCCGACATGTGGTCCGACATGTGGTCCAACATGAGGTCCATCATGTGGTTCAACATGAGGTCCGACATGTGGTCCATCATGAGGTCCAACATGTGGTCCATCATGAGGTCCGACATGTGGTCCGACATGTGGTCCAACATGAGGTCCATCATGTGGTTCAACATGAGGTCCGACATGTGGTCCATCATGAGGTTCAACATGTGGTCCATCATGAGGTCCGACATGTGGTCCGACATGTGGTCCAACATGAGGTCCATCATGTGGTTCAACATGAGGTCCGACATGTGGTCCATCATGAGGTTCAACATGTGGTCCATCATGAGGTCCGACATGTGGTCCGACATGTGGTCCAACATGAGGTCCATCATGTGGTTCAACATGAGGTCCGACATGTGGTCCATCATGAGGTTCAACATGTGGTCCATCATGAGGTCCGACATGTGGTCCGACATGTGGTCCAACATGAGGTCCATCATGTGGTTCAACATGAGGTCCGACATGTGGTCCATCATGAGGTTCAACATGTGGTCCATCATGAGGTCCGACATGTGGTCCGACATGTGGTCCAACATGAGGTCCATCATGTGGTTCAACATGAGGTCCGACATGTGGTCCATCATGAGGTTCAACATGTGGTCCATCATGAGGTCCGACATGTGGTCCGACATGTGGTCCAACATGAGGTCCATCATGTGGTTCAACATGAGGTCCGACATGTGGTCCATCATGAGGTTCAACATGTGGTCCATCATGAGGTCCGACATGTGGTCCGACATGTGGTCCAACATGAGGTCCATCATGTGGTTCAACATGAGGTCCGACATGTGGTCCATCATGAGGTTCAACATGTGGTCCATCATGAGGTCCGACATGTGGTCCGACATGTGGTCCAACATGAGGTCCATCATGTGGTTCAACATGAGGTCCGACATGTGGTCCATCATGAGGTTCAACATGTGGTCCATCATGAGGTCCGACATGTGGTCCGACATGTGGTCCAACATGAGGTCCATCATGTGGTTCAACATGAGGTCCGACATGTGGTCCATCATGAGGTTCAACATGTGGTCCATCATGAGGTCCGACATGTGGTCCGACATGTGGTCCAACATGAGGTCCATCATGTGGTTCAACATGAGGTCCGACATGTGGTCCATCATGAGGTTCAACATGTGGTCCATCATGAGGTCCGACATGTGGTCCGACATGTGGTCCAACATGAGGTCCATCATGTGGTTCAACATGAGGTCCGACATGTGGTCCATCATGAGGTTCAACATGTGGTCCATCATGAGGTCCGACATGTGGTCCGACATGTGGTCCAACATGAGGTCCATCATGTGGTTCAACATGAGGTCCGACATGTGGTCCATCATGAGGTTCAACATGTGGTCCATCATGAGGTCCGACATGTGGTCCGACATGTGGTCCAACATGAGGTCCATCATGTGGTTCAACATGAGGTCCGACATGTGGTCCATCATGAGGTTCAACATGTGGTCCATCATGAGGTCCGACATGTGGTCCGACATGTGGTCCAACATGAGGTCCATCATGTGGTTCAACATGAGGTCCGACATGTGGTCCATCATGAGGTTCAACATGTGGTCCATCATGAGGTCCGACATGTGGTCCGACATGTGGTCCAACATGAGGTCCATCATGTGGTTCAACATGAGGTCCGACATGTGGTCCATCATGAGGTTCAACATGTGGTCCATCATGAGGTCCGACATGTGGTCCGACATGTGGTCCAACATGAGGTCCATCATGTGGTTCAACATGAGGTCCGACATGTGGTCCATCATGAGGTTCAACATGTGGTCCATCATGAGGTCCGACATGTGGTCCGACATGTGGTCCAACATGAGGTCCATCATGTGGTTCAACATGAGGTCCGACATGTGGTCCATCATGAGGTTCAACATGTGGTCCATCATGAGGTCCGACATGTGGTCCGACATGTGGTCCAACATGAGGTCCATCATGTGGTTCAACATGAGGTCCGACATGTGGTCCATCATGAGGTTCAACATGTGGTCCATCATGAGGTCCGACATGTGGTCCGACATGTGGTCCAACATGAGGTCCATCATGTGGTTCAACATGAGGTCCGACATGTGGTCCATCATGAGGTTCAACATGTGGTCCATCATGAGGTCCGACATGTGGTCCGACATGTGGTCCAACATGAGGTCCATCATGTGGTTCAACATGAGGTCCGACATGTGGTCCATCATGAGGTTCAACATGTGGTCCATCATGAGGTCCGACATGTGGTCCGACATGTGGTCCAACATGAGGTCCATCATGTGGTTCAACATGAGGTCCGACATGTGGTCCATCATGAGGTTCAACATGTGGTCCATCATGAGGTCCGACATGTGGTCCGACATGTGGTCCAACATGAGGTCCATCATGTGGTTCAACATGAGGTCCGACATGTGGTCCATCATGAGGTTCAACATGTGGTCCATCATGAGGTCCGACATGTGGTCCGACATGTGGTCCAACATGAGGTCCATCATGTGGTTCAACATGAGGTCCGACATGTGGTCCATCATGAGGTTCAACATGTGGTCCATCATGAGGTCCGACATGTGGTCCGACATGTGGTCCAACATGAGGTCCATCATGTGGTTCAACATGAGGTCCGACATGTGGTCCATCATGAGGTTCAACATGTGGTCCATCATGAGGTCCGACATGTGGTCCGACATGTGGTCCAACATGAGGTCCATCATGTGGTTCAACATGAGGTCCGACATGTGGTCCATCATGAGGTTCAACATGTGGTCCATCATGAGGTCCGACATGTGGTCCGACATGTGGTCCAACATGAGGTCCATCATGTGGTTCAACATGAGGTCCGACATGTGGTCCATCATGAGGTTCAACATGTGGTCCATCATGAGGTCCGACATGTGGTCCGACATGTGGTCCAACATGAGGTCCATCATGTGGTTCAACATGAGGTCCGACATGTGGTCCATCATGAGGTTCAACATGTGGTCCATCATGAGGTCCGACATGTGGTCCGACATGTGGTCCAACATGAGGTCCATCATGTGGTTCAACATGAGGTCCGACATGTGGTCCATCATGAGGTTCAACATGTGGTCCATCATGAGGTCCGACATGTGGTCCGACATGTGGTCCAACATGAGGTCCATCATGTGGTTCAACATGAGGTCCGACATGTGGTCCATCATGAGGTTCAACATGTGGTCCATCATGAGGTCCGACATGTGGTCCGACATGTGGTCCAACATGAGGTCCATCATGTGGTTCAACATGAGGTCCGACATGTGGTCCATCATGAGGTTCAACATGTGGTCCATCATGAGGTCCGACATGTGGTCCGACATGTGGTCCAACATGAGGTCCATCATGTGGTTCAACATGAGGTCCGACATGTGGTCCATCATGAGGTTCAACATGTGGTCCATCATGAGGTCCGACATGTGGTCCGACATGTGGTCCAACATGAGGTCCATCATGTGGTTCAACATGAGGTCCGACATGTGGTCCATCATGAGGTTCAACATGTGGTCCATCATGAGGTCCGACATGTGGTCCGACATGTGGTCCAACATGAGGTCCATCATGTGGTTCAACATGAGGTCCGACATGTGGTCCATCATGAGGTTCAACATGTGGTCCATCATGAGGTCCGACATGTGGTCCGACATGTGGTCCAACATGAGGTCCATCATGTGGTTCAACATGAGGTCCGACATGTGGTCCATCATGAGGTTCAACATGTGGTCCATCATGAGGTCCGACATGTGGTCCGACATGTGGTCCAACATGAGGTCCATCATGTGGTTCAACATGAGGTCCGACATGTGGTCCATCATGAGGTTCAACATGTGGTCCATCATGAGGTCCGACATGTGGTCCGACATGTGGTCCAACATGAGGTCCATCATGTGGTTCAACATGAGGTCCGACATGTGGTCCATCATGAGGTTCAACATGTGGTCCATCATGAGGTCCGACATGTGGTCCGACATGTGGTCCAACATGAGGTCCATCATGTGGTTCAACATGAGGTCCGACATGTGGTCCATCATGAGGTTCAACATGTGGTCCATCATGAGGTCCGACATGTGGTCCGACATGTGGTCCAACATGAGGTCCATCATGTGGTTCAACATGAGGTCCGACATGTGGTCCATCATGAGGTTCAACATGTGGTCCATCATGAGGTCCGACATGTGGTCCGACATGTGGTCCAACATGAGGTCCATCATGTGGTTCAACATGAGGTCCGACATGTGGTCCATCATGAGGTTCAACATGTGGTCCATCATGAGGTCCGACATGTGGTCCGACATGTGGTCCAACATGAGGTCCATCATGTGGTTCAACATGAGGTCCGACATGTGGTCCATCATGAGGTTCAACATGTGGTCCATCATGAGGTCCGACATGTGGTCCGACATGTGGTCCAACATGAGGTCCATCATGTGGTTCAACATGAGGTCCGACATGTGGTCCATCATGAGGTTCAACATGTGGTCCATCATGAGGTCCGACATGTGGTCCGACATGTGGTCCAACATGAGGTCCATCATGTGGTTCAACATGAGGTCCGACATGTGGTCCATCATGAGGTTCAACATGTGGTCCATCATGAGGTCCGACATGTGGTCCGACATGTGGTCCAACATGAGGTCCATCATGTGGTTCAACATGAGGTCCGACA